ACAATGACACAACACAGACACAACACAGACACAACACAACAATGACACAACACAGACACAACACAGACACACACACACACACACACAAACACGTACAAACACACACACAGGTTCAGACACAGGCACAAACACACACAGACACACAAACACAGGCACACACTGAAGTTTTGTTCATCACAGAGTCTTTGTCCATTTGTTTCCACAGGAAGTTAAAGCAGCATCAGTCCCATCAAGCCCCTCCCCCACCTACCAGAGCTCAGCACTGACCACACCAAAAGTGAGTCACTGTTTCTCCAGGTGTGATGGCGTTTGTGTGTGCGTGTGTGTGTGTCGTACACCTGTAAAACAAAATTGTTTCTTCTTTGTGTGTTTTCAGCCCAAAGCTCATCAGCTGAGCATCAAGACGTTCTCCAGTCCAACTCAGTGTACACACTGCACCTCACTGATGGTGGGACTCCTCCGCCAGGGCTACGCCTGCGAAGGTACGCAACACAAACACACATAACATACACAACACCACCAGAGCTGCAGCGAGCGTCAGTCTGAACGACACCTGTGTGACTGCACCTGCTACTGCTGACCTGTTGATGTAGAAAGAGCCGGGTGTGTTTGTGGTTTTAGGAGTGTGTCTGTATGTGTGTGTGCAGGTGTGTGTTTGTATGTTTTCAGGTGTGTCTTCCTGTGTCTCTGCAGTGTGTTCCTTCATCTGTCACGTTACCTGTAAAGACCACGCCCCCCTAGTCTGTCCAATCCCAGCAGAGCAGGCCAAGAGGCCTCAGGGCATCGACGTCCAGAGAGGCATCGGCACTGCGTACAAGGGATTTGTCAGGGTAAGACCACTGGTTAGATAGCAATGCAGTGGACTCACAATAGAGTCGCAGAACCAGACTGACTTGTTTCTGTCTCTGTCAGGTTCCTAAGCCCAGCGGCGTAAAGAAGGGCTGGCAGCGAGCGTTCGCTGTGGTCTCTGACTGTAAACTGTTTCTCTATGATGTCCCAGAGGGGAAGTCCACGCAGCCAGGTGTGGTGGCCAGTCTGGTCCTAGACCTCAGGTAAGCTGTCCACCTGTCTCTCCACTCACCTCACGTCAGGACATCCTGGACAAATAGTCTTGAGATGTTTCAGGTGGTCTGGTGCAGGTTTGAAAGATGTTCATGTTTTCTCTGTCAGAGATGAGGAGTTCTCCGTAAGCTCTGTCTTGGCATCAGATGTGATCCACGCCACCAGGAAAGACATCCCCTGCATCTTCAGGGTAGGAGACCATGTCCCCTTTGAACCATCACTGTCTGCCCTCTGACATGTGGTCCGTCCTGATTGTGGCTGTTGTTGTCGTTTGTCGTGATTAGGTGACATCATCGCAGCTGATTTCGCAGATCTCGTCTGTGTCTCTGCTGGTCCTGGCAGAGAGTGAGCTGGAGAAGAGAAAGTGGGTCCGGATCCTCGAGAGTCTGCAGAGCATCCTGACCAAGAACCTGCTGAGGAGCCAGCCGGTCCATGTTCTGCACGAGGCCTACGACGCTTCACTCCCGGTCATAAAGACCACGCTGTCAGCTGCTGTGATCGGTCAGTGTCGAGTCGCTACTGTCAAGTACTGACAGAGTGAATTAGTGCAATTCTCTGTTTGGTGTTTCCTTGTGTTGATCGTTGAGCTTCATCTGGACTTGTGAGAAGGTTCTGGTTGTTTTATTAGTGACACAGTTTTTACTGTCAATGTTTTTCTCATTTGTTTGTCAAATGTATCTCAAGTGAAAATGGTCATTTTTGACCTTGTTTTCTCTGGTTGCAGATCGAGAGAGGGTCGCTCTGGGGACAGAAGATGGACTGTTTGTGGTGGAGGTCACCAGAGACGGTGAAATGGACACTTGATACATGCGTATTTTAATCAACGTGATCCAGTGTCTAGTGTCTTAACATGTGGTTGTCTCTCTCTCCAGTGATTGTGCGAGCAGTCGACAGTAAGAAGGTTTATCAGATCGATTTGATCCCGAAGGAGAAAATCGTGGCTCTGCTCTGTGGTCGCAATCGTCACGTTCACCTTCTCCCCTGGGGGGTGCTGGAGGGCGCAGAGCCTGCCTTTGACTTTAAGCTGGCAGAAACCAAAGGTTGCCAGGCTTTGACCACAGGGGTGCTCCGACCTGGAGGACCCGCCTGCCTGCTGGGTGCTGTCAAACGCCAGGTCGGAAAAACGACTCTTACAACTGCTGCTCTGTATCTATGGTACTGGTTCTAGTCCTGAAGCTTCTGATTTCGTTACTCCAGGTTCAGTGCTACGAGATCACTCGTGCAAAGCCCCACCATAAGAAGCTGTGGGAGGTTCAGGCTCCCGGTTCGGTGCAATGGTTGGGTATGGTGAAGGAGCGGCTGTGTGTCGGGTATCCTTCGGGCTTTGCTCTGCTGGCCCTGCAGGGCGAGTCTTCCCCCATCAGTCTGGTGAGCCCTGGTGACCCGTCGTTGGCCTTCCTGTCCCAACATCCCCTGGATGCACTGCATGCCCTGGAGGTCGGATCCAATGAATTGCTGCTCTGCTTCAGCCAGCTCGGCATCTATGTGGATGGACAGGGCCGCCGGTCCCGAACCCAGGAACTGATGTGGCCTGCCACACCGCTTGCTTGTAGTACGTTAGTCCTACTGTTGATGTCATAATTGAAGAAGATCAGACAGGTGTAGATGGTTGTCAGGTGAGTGTAGACAGGTGTAAATGGTTGTCAGGTGAAAGTAGACAGGTGTAAACAGTTGTCAGGTGAAAGTAGA